TCAACCCCCTTCCCCTTCGTGAAAGTTACCATGCGTTTTGAGTGTAGGTTATGGTTTTGAGAGGAAGCCTGATAGCATACAAAAAGAGAACAAAAAAACATGAAATTTTGACATACTACATCCATGTTTCAAATTACTGCGATGTTTATACAGTTATCAAGTTTCACTTCGTCTATTATCATGCAATTTTCACATAAGTTACTAGAGTAAATTCTCCAATAATTCTTTTCTCATAGGTCGAAAATTAACGCGGTGTTTCCCCCCAAAAAAAATTACCCACGGTCATTGTACATAAGTTATCAGTTCTTCGGCTTGTGTATTAACATGTTATTTGCACACAATTTACTAAGGGTATGTTTTTCAACCACCTTTCCCCCTTTTGGTTAATGTTGCCGTGGTGTTTATACCCAAATTATCAGATCTGCACTTCATATATTATCATGGCACTTACACACAAGTTATCGAGTGTATGTTTTTCAACAACTTTTGCCCTTCTAAAAAAATGTTACCGCGGTGCTTATTCGTATATTATCATGCTATTTTCACATAAGTTACCAAGGGTGTGTTATTAAACAACTTTTTCATGTTTGGTCAATGGAACCGCGGTGTTCTGTACGTAAATTATCGGATATGTGACACATATATTACCGTATTATTTACACATAAATTAGCGAGCATATGTTTGTCAACAAAAAAAATTCGGGGTCAGGAAGTTATCATCATGTTTTGTATGTAAGTTATCAGTTAAGCGGTGCTTATATTACCACGTTATTTACATAGAGATTACCGGTGGCACATTTGTAATACACCCCTTGGGGTCAAAGTTATTGTGGTGTTTGTATGTATGTTATCAAGTCCACGGAGCGTAAATTATCATATTATTTACATATAAGTTAACGTGGTTATGTTTTTCAACCACTTTTTTCCTCGGGTCAAAATTACCACGATGTTTGTGGGTAAAATTATCAGGTCTATGGGGTATGTTTCTAATAACTTTTTTCCCTGGTTCAAAATTACCGCGGTGTTTTTGCGCAAGTTATCATGTCTACAGTGCGTATTATTACCGTGCTATTTGCATACAGTTACCGGGGTTTGTTTTCAGTAATAATTTTCTATGTCAAGTTTATTGTGGTGTTTATACGTAAATTATCAGATCAATTGTATATAAATTATCATGATATTTACGTAGAAGTTATCGAGGGTATTTTTCTACATCAATCTTTCTTGGGTCAAAAGTTAGCATGATATTAGTTCTTAAAATGTAATACAAATGATGCACCAGTGAAGCTAAAAGACCCACAAAACATGTTTTCTTTAGCCAACATTAACTTTTCCTAACTAGGTCTCTACCCAGCATTGGGCCCAGCCCAACTCTTTTCTCTCTCTTAAACCCACCGAGAGTTGTCTTCCACCTCTAATCAACGAAACCTGTATCTGAAAACTAAAAACTGAAAACACAGAGACTAAGAACTCCCAATTATCCATCATACTTGTTGATTTAGGCTACGAATCGCGTGGACTTCAACATGAAATTCGTAGATCTCTTCATTGCGAATCCATTTTAGTTGAGCACGCAACTTATTGTTCAAAGATGAAGGAGATCGATGCTGGCCGGAGCCTATGGCCGTGGCCAGCAGAACAGCGGGCAGCAGCGGCTGCTATGGCCGAGATGTGTGGAGGACGTGGTTGTCGATGGGCTGCAGGGGAGGCAGGAATCCCATGGAGATGGTGATGGAGCTCCTGCACCGGCGAGTGTTGGCCGTGGAAGGAACTGCTCGCCGGAGCAGCAGGCTATGGCGGCGACTTGAGGAGACGCTGGTGCTCGAGGGGTGCAAGGGAACAGGTGGTTCGATCGAAGCTGCTGATGGCCGGTCAATGCGTGCTCGCGGCGCCGTGACTGGACGCTCGGGCATAGGAGTTGCAGACGGAGCAGATGCGGATTGAGCGATTGCCAGATCTGACGACGTTGGATGCGATAGATCGTTTTGCAATCTGCCACATGGTTGCCAGATACATATTTCGTTTTCAGAAGGAGAAACCTATAATGAGGAAAAACAAGCTATAAAAGAAGAAAAATAAGTGGGGACACACTACAAAGGTGTCCATAGATGATGGTACTCATAGTTGGGTAAATTTCCATATCCTAATCCTCAATTAGCAGGATGCCTTTGTCACAACAACGCGGCCAATATTCATCAAGTAGAACAGCCCCAAGTTCACAACAAACCACAAGCACAAGCGGATGAAAATCTGGGCCATGATTGAAGTGTTATTATTTGTTTGAACAGGAGAAATGTAAATGAAAATTAAAGAAACCTAATAGACTTTAAAAAGCCCGAACAAGGTGTCAATATATGGCATGCAGTACTCAGTATTTTGCTGCTGGAGTCTCTTCATGTGTATACCACGATATTCACCATTTTGTACTTCTGAGTAGTTTGTGTGTGGGCAGGGCCGGCCCTGAGATTTCGGGGGCCCGGGGCAAGACAACACGGAGGGGGCCCTAAAGCCACATAAACATATGCATGTTTTTTTCTATTTCAACTGCAAATAAATATTCAGCACACTATTAATTTATGGAGACTTGTCTTCTTGGCTATTAAAAAAACTGGGGTCACAAACATTCACAGCTTTAGTTGATCTATCCTGTGACTACTCAAATTTACACTTATATATATATATTAGGTGAATTAGTAAAACTTTCATGCCTACTCAAATTTTATCTTCCTAAAGTTTTCACTAGTTGTTCTTGAACAAGAACTAAAGCTATGTCCTGGGAATTCCTAGCAGTAGGAATACTGTTTTTTGCCAGGAATCAGTAGAATGCTCCTATCTGCTCTAAAAAATGCCAGCAACTCTCACGTGGGACTCAATCAACTCATATGCACTTTTCCCCACATTATCAGATGGATTCTTTCTTGATAGCATCTTGTTAAATGAATAGCAATCTTGGTAATCAGCACACAAACATATGATACAAGATATTAAGAGCACTACTAATTGAAAAAAAGTGCTATGAAAGGCATGGAACAGGGTACCTGGATGGCTAGAAAAGTCGAAATCGCAAGATTTGGCTGCTGCATATGAGAGTCACGAACAAAATTCCAAGTTTCTCTTTTCTAATCCCAGTCAATACAAGAAATCGGAGTGTGAGCAAAAGATATGTACGACAGTACGAGGATGATCTTCAGGAAACGAATGAACGATCTAACAAGAATAAAGAAAGAGAAACTGTGCGTTGAGGAGAAGATTGATGGGAATCTGGAAAACGGATTACCTTCTTCCACTAATGGCGTATAGCAGCCGAAAATTACGATTAGACGAGCGGGTGGGGCGCCGTCATCCATGGCATGGCCGATTTGTTGCCAGCTGGGGATAAGAATGCACGGGGTGCGAAGAGCCGATAATTGATCGACCAGTTTGTTTCCTTTTGAGAATCAATCGACAGGTTCAAGATCACACACGTATATAGGAAACCAATCCATCGGGGGGCCCTTCCTACTCGGGGGCCCGGGGCGGTCGCCCCCCCCTGCCCTCCTCAGGGCCGGCCCTGTGTGTGGGACAAAGTAACAAGCAATAACCACGATGTCCACATCCGACTGACTCACCTGTGTAGTCATCTGGCATCTCCTACGGAAGTGGACAAAGGAGTGATCAATATTCTCTGCCTGACAGTCAACACACTCCACTGTGATCCACCACTACTCACCTTTTGAAAATCCATGGCCATTAAAAAGCCAAAGCGGGGATAAGGGAGCTCAAGATCAGCAGCAGTAAGAAGCAACCATGGCTGATGCAGAGCCATGGAAAACAGTCAAGATACCCCCGATTGTGCAGGAGCTGGTGACCGGTGTGCAGGAGCCACCGAGCCGGTATGTGATCGCTGAGCACAACCGCCCCGCCGTGGCTGGTTCTGAGATGCCCGATCTCATACCCATCGTCGATCTCAGCTGGCTGTCTGACAACTGTGCTGATGAGGTTGCCAAGCTGCGGTCCGCCTTGGAGAACTCGGGCCTGTTCCTGGTAAAGTTTCCTCCCTAATTTCTTTGCTTCTTCCATCTTCAGATTTCTGATCGATCTTCCTCCAGGCTGTTGGCCATGGAATGGAGCAAAGTTTTCTGGGTGAGGTGATGAAAGTCACCAGAGAATTTTTCAAGCTCCCACTGGAAGAGAAGCAGGAGGATCTCTCTCTCAAATGTTCCGATCCGGCGAGAGATCCTCCTGAATTGAAGCATCCCTATCTCCCCCTCCCTCCCTCCCCGAGGCGCTCCCGCGGGCGCCCCCGGGAGGAACCCTAGCGCCGCCTCCCCCCGCCCCCCCTCGCCCTGCCCTCCTCCCTCGCCGCCACCGGGGGCGTCGCCGGCCTAAGGCCGCGTGGCGCTGGCGCAGCGGGGCTGCTCCCTCCCGCACGCAGATGGGGGCCGTCACGGGGCGTCCCTCCTCTGCTCGGTGGTGGCGGCCGTCGGGCCGGCCCTGCCTCTGCTCCCTCCCCTCCCCTGGCGTTCTGGTGGCCGGCGGCGCCGCCTCCTTCCTCTCCGGCGCAGACTGTGGGGTTCCGGCGCCCTGGGTCGTGCTGGTGGCGGATCTGGCCCCCAGCCCAGATCCGGTCGATATGGTGGTTGGCGGTGGCAGTGGTGGCCGGCGGCCGTGTTTAGGTGGTGGCGCTGCAGCTGGGGTTCGTCTACTCCGGTGGGGTGGGGGGCTCCGGCTGGACCTGGCCAGGGCACGGTGGCGCTGGTGCTGTGGTGGTGGTGTGTGTCCGCTTCGCCGACGTCTGGTGGGCGGGCGGCGCGGGTTGGGGCAGCGGCCCGGCGTGGTTGTTGCTCCGGCTGTGGGCGGCAGCGACGTGGTGGGTCGGCTCTCTTGTGTGGAGGCTGCCATTCGTCGTGTCAGCATCATGGCAGCTCGGCGGGCCGGCTGGGATGGCGGCTAGCTCTCCGGCATCGGTTTGTCTATAGGCGACCCGTTTCAACCTTCGGTCCTCTCGTCGTCATCTAGTTGCTACCTTCGTCAAAGGTTCGGCCCTCCCCCGACAATGGTCCATCGCTCGTCTCGCGCCCGGCAGCAGGACCGACCTCTTCTCGCGCCCGGCAGCAGGACCGGCCTCGTCTCGCACCCGGCAGCAGGACTATGCTCGTCTCGCGCCCGGCAGGACTATGCTCGTCTCGCGCCCGGCAGCAGGACCAAGCAATGGTCAAACTAATTATTCTAGAATATTAGTGTTACTAAATAATTATTTCAGTTATTTCAATTTTGGTCAAATCTAGTCAAACTGTGGTCAAACAATGGTCAAACTAATTATTCAAGAAATATTAGTGTTACTAAATAATTATTGTTTTTTAAAACAATAGTTTCAAAATAAAACTATGAAATGTGTCACTTCATGCTCAAGCAAAATTCCTGAAGGTTAATAGGATTGACATCTTAGTATTGTCAGGAAAACAACAAATGCAGACTTGGAGCGAGGGAGAATAGAATCCGGAAGTTAAGCGTGCTCAGGCTGGGGGAGTGGGAGGATGGGTGACCGTTCAGGAAGTTAGATGATTTGGAATAATGAGGGGTGATTAGAGGATAAATTGAGAAGTGATGAGGGGTGATGATTACAGACTAGAGGTTAAAATAATTCAGAAATTTGAAAATAAAAAAAATTATAAAAAATTTCAAAAAAAATTATCAAAAAAAAATCATAAAATTTCCTTTAGTCCCGGTTGGTGTTAGCTCCACATGGCCGCGCCCTTTAGTCCCGGTTCTGGATTGAACCGGGACTAAAGGGAGAGGCATTAGTACCGACATTTTAGGCCCTTATGAACCGGGACTGAAGGCCCTTTTTCTACTAGTGGAAAGGCGGCCCTTTCCGCCCGTATCTTTGGTTGGGGTTGCGGTGGGTCTCGAGCGAGGTGGTGTCAAGGTCTGGGATGTCAGGGTGGCGGCCCTGGTGGTGGTCCCACGGTGCTCATGGGCAGAGCCCGTGGCTAGGTGCTGCCCGGTGGCCATGGTCGTGTGGGCGGCGTGGTCGCTGGGGTGTGGCATCCGGTAGTGGTGAGTGTTGGCCGGGGTGAAAACCTGATCTATCCGCGGATGGACCGGCGGGGGCGAAGCTCGTTCCCTTCTTGAAGGCGTCGTCGCAGCTCTCATTGCCCGTCGTTTTGCTCCAGGGGAAACTCTGATCCTCGGGTCGGGCGGTGACGGCGCTCTGGTGTCATAACCTTCCTGAAGGCGCCGCCTTGGAGCACATGGTTCGTCATAGGCGGCTTCATCTCTTTGCGGTGGCATGCTCACGGTTGAGGACTCCGAGTTCTCTTGTAGTACTAGGGGTAGTGTTGCTGCGCTCAGCGCCTTTGTATCCTGTCTTGGGTGCGTGCGTGTGTTGTGCTGGCATGCGTTTGTATCTGAGTTGTGATCGGTTGGTGCTTTATATATAAAGCGGAACGAAAGCCTTTTTCAACAAGAGAAGCAGAAGTACTCAAACCCGGTGAACGGCAATGAAGTCAGGATCGAAGGTTATGGGAACGACCCTGGACTGGTGTGACCGCCTATATATCATAGTGGAACCTGAGAATCGAAGAATCTACAGCTTGTGGCCAACACAGCCTCCATCGTTCAGGTACCCTACCATTCAGGCTTGTACTTCATATGGTATATATGGGTGTCAGACCGATGAGTAGCCAACGTTTCCCAAGCCGCTTTCGAGACTGGATCTTCGCCCTTTTATCCACGGCCTCGTCCAGAGTTCTTCTAAATGGGGTGCCTGGGGACCCTATTTTGCACGGATGTGGACTTAGGCAGGGGATCCCCTATCCCCCCTCCTTTTTGTCTTGGCCATTGACCCGCTCCATCACATCTTAGCTAAGGCGACTGAGCAAGGCAAACTACGCCCCCTCCGGGGTAACCCCACGCGGGCTTCCCTGTATGCCGATGATGCGGCCATCTTTGTTGCTCGTATCAAGGAAGATATCCAGTTCTTGGCATCCACGCTCGGCTCTTTTGGTGAAGTTACCTGTTTGGTCACCAATTATAACAAAAGTCATGTGGCTCCCATCCGGTGTGCCAACATCGATTTGGATGAAATTCTGCAGGCCTTCCCGGCGGTCCGGGCCACCTTTCCCATGAGATACCTTGGCCTACCACTTTCGGTTGCAAGACTAAAGCGCATCTACTTCCAATATCTAGAAGATAAGGTGGCTGCCAAGCTCCCGCCCCGGTCGGCCATACATGTGGCTACCCCGGGGCGCATCGTCCTGGTCAAGGCCGTCCTTACGGCGATTGCGATATATCACCTCACCCCGCTGGACCTACCTATAGAAGTGAGGAAAAAGATTGATAGTCTCATACGTGCTTATCTCTGGGTAGGATGTGACAAGGTGACGGGAGGCAAGTGCAAGGTGAACTGGGATCTAGTTTGCAAGCCCAAAGTTCATGGGGGTCTAGGAGTGCTCAACCTGGAGAAATTTGCTACTGCTCTACGCCTCCGTTGGTTGTGGTTTGAGTGGGCGGACCCGCCAAAACCGTGGGCCCGGATGGGAACGCCTTGCTCTGACAAGGACAAAGATCTCTTTGCGGCGGCCACGACGGTGACCATTGGTGATGGCAACAAGGATAATTTCTGGGAATCCTCTTGGCTGAATGGTTTTCGGCCCAAAGACATCGCGCCTAAAATCTTTGAGATTTCAAAAAGGAAGAACTATGTGGTTAGCAAGGCTTTGGACAACAATTTTTGGATCCATCAGATCAACACCGCACAGGGCCTCACCTTGACGCACTTGCAGGAGTTCGCCAACCTCTGGGAGATGGTTGCCGGTGTCACTCTAAGCCAAGATAGACAAGACACTATTTCGTGGAAATTCACTACCAGCAGAGAGTACACGACATCCTCGACTTACTTGGCGCAATTTGTGGGACTCACCTACAGTACCAATACTTCCATGATCTGGAAGACATGGGCTCCTCCCAAATGCAAGTTCTTTGCTTGGCTAATTCTCCAGAACCGAGTCTGGACGGCCGATCGCTTGTTTCGACGGGGATGGCCCAATTGCAACCTTTGCCTCCTTTGCAAGCAAATTCAAGAGTCTGCTGCCCACCTGCTATTTCAGTGTAGATTCACGAATAGAGTTTGGAACGAGATTACCATTTGGCTGGGAATCCACGACTGCTCACCAATGATTTAGCGAAACGAAGTTTCGGTTCGAACTTGGTGGCAAAAGGCGGTGAGCAACGTGGATCATAACAGAAAGGTTCTTGCCTCTGTTATGATGCTTGTCTCATGGGAGATATGGAAAGAATGAAATGCCAGAATTTTTCGCAATGCCGCGACTCCGAGCACAATTATTGTCACGAGAATTAAAGAGGAGGCCCACCTGTGGACTTTGGCTGGGGCCAAGCATTTGAGTAGTCTCATGTTGCGAGAGTAGTCTTTTCTTTTGGTCGCGTTGCGACATATGTCTGAACCTCCTCTCTTATTTAATGAAAATGGCAAATCTTTTGCCTGGTTTCAAAAAAAAAATGAGTAGCCAACGTACGTAGTTGTCTGACCACGAAGATTTCTGCAGAGATATTCTGAGTGAGTACACGGTCAACCTTTTCCTCCAGAACCTGGCCAAGCTACTAGATTTACACGAGGGCCACTTCGTCAACATGTTCGATGAGAATGCCTTGACATACGCCAGGTTAAACTACTATCCTAACTGTCCAAAGCCGGACCACGTCTTCGGCATGAAGCCCCACACCGATGCCTCGGTGATCACAATCGTCTTCGTCGATGATAATGTCAGCGGGCTCCAGCTTCAAAAAGATGGCGTCTGGTACAATGTACCCATTGTTCCGAATGCATTACTCGTGAACATGGGAGATGTAATGGAGGTACGTGTGTGTGAGAAGTTGCAAAATTGTGACAGTTAAACTGAGTTGTAAATCTCGCTACTTCATCTGACAAATACAGATAATGAGCAATGGATTCTTCAAGAGCCCGATTCACAGGGTTGTGACCAATGCAGAGAAAGAGCGGCTATCTTTGGTGATGTTCTACACGTTGAACCCGGAGAAAGAGATTGAGCCACTGCCAGAGCTGGTGGATGAGAAAAGACCGAGGCGGTACATGAAGACAACAACTAATGACTACACAGCAAAACTCTTCGAAACTTTTGCTAGGGGGACACTAGCTATCGACACAGTGAAGATCTGAACGTGATACCAAGTGTAGAAGATTAATCGCACTGTGGTGATATTTCTTCCAGCGATATGTACTATTCTTGTGGAGTTGGTTTATGCTTTGACTTTCTGAAAATAATGTGCTGTGATGTATATTTGTATCACATAACAACTTCATATCTGTTTAGTTCAATTGTTACCCCGTTGTTCTACAGTTTCATCAAGTACTTTCTATCTGTTTTCCTGTCTTCCTTGTTTTCACCATGCTGATTAAGACCTCCATACATTCGTCTTGCTATGCAAAATGCGGTTGCCTCAGCAACAATAGTAAATTGCAATAAGCTAAACAAGGCACCTTATTTTAAAATAGAAAAAAAAAACAAGGAGACATACCAGACCAGGATAATAATTTCCAGCTAGAGGGTATGGAAATGACCCCGTAAGAGCTGAATAGTTGACCAGAGGCTGAGCGGAATCTTGCCCACTGGCCTATAAACCTGAAAGCTTTCAGGTTATTTAGCAATGATATATCTACTCAAACAGATCTTTCATCGTTGTCAATTTTATACTCCCTCCGTTCCTAAATGTAAGTCTTTGTAGATATTCCACTAGGTGGACTACATACGGAGCAAAATGAATTAATGCACACTTAAAATGCATCTATATACATCCGTATGTAGTTCATAGTGAAATCTCTACAAAGACTTATATTTAGGAACGGAGGGAGTATAAGAAAAGCATTAGCCTGACCTTGAATTTTACAGTTATATTCTTCCGTGGCCCCTCCTACGTAGTTAAAATATCCAGAAAAATGTAAGTTCGGTAGTGTAAAATTCATTTCAGCAAGTTACATATGAACCATATGTACGATATCTGTTGAGGGAGGAGGGGGGGCTAATGTATTTAATTAACTACCGTTTAAAAAAAACTTGTTACGGGCTCAAATCTAAGAATATAATAATGGATAATTCATACAAGAAAACGTTGTTGGTGGGAATCCAACTCTGGTTCTCTCAACCATGGACACTTGATCTCACCAGGAATTTCTTTTAAGGTGTAATTTTTCAATCCTATTTTAACGAGGATGATGTATTTTTTAAAGAAACTTAACAGAACAAAAGAAACTGTAGAAGGGATGAAATACCTTAGCTAAGAGAAATATGAGGACATCCATGTATGGAATGCCGTACTCATTATCCTGCTATTCAGGTCATTGCGTGTATATCGGGATACTCACCGGTTTGTACGTACCAATTGATGTGTGGGAGAAAGACAAAGACAAAAAACAAAGTGATAACCGTGATGCCCACAAGGGAGTCCAGAGAATCACAAAGGAGTATCAAAACCCATGCTCATAAAAACTGCCAAAGTGGGACAAGGGAGGTCAAAACTAAGAGCAGCAACAAGCAACCATGGCTGATGGCCAACCATCAAAGTCTGTCGAGATACCACCAATTGTGCAAGAGCTGATCACCGGCGTGCAGGAGCCACCAAGCCGGTACATTGTTCCCGAGCAAGACCACCCCGATGTGGCTGGTTTCGAGATGCCTGAGCCCATCCCCATTGTTGATCTCAGCCGTCTATCTTCCACTGACAACAGCGCCGATGAGAATGTCAAGCTGAGGTCTGCCTTGGAGAACTGGGCCTCTTCCTAGTAAGCTTTTCCTGGTAAATTTAGTTGTATATTTTTTAATCTATCAAATCAAGGTTTCTGACCGATCTTTGGCCAGGCTGTTGGACATGGGATGGAGCCAAGTTTTCTTGGTGAGGTGATGAAAGTGACAAGATAATTTTACAAACTCTCACTGGAAGAGAAGCAGAAGCACTCAAACTTCGTGGATGGCAAAGAGTTCAGAATGGAAGGATATGGGAGCGACATGGTCATCTCAAAGAAGCAGATCTTGGACTGGTGCGACCGGTTCATTCTCGTAGTGGAACCTGAGTCTCAGAGAAACTATACTCTATGGCCAACACAACCTCCTTTCAGCTACTCCAGGCTTTTACCACGATCAATCTGCATCGGAGAAAGAAGTTCAGTTAATGTGTAGCCATAACTAAGCCTGATCATTCATATTTGTGCAGAGATATTCTGAGCGAGTACACAGTCAGATGCAGGGAGATCACCAACCTTATCCTCAAGAACCTGGCCAAGCTGCTCAGTTTAGACAAGGACTACTTCATCAACATGCTCGATGAGAATGCCATTACACATGCCAGGTTTAACTACTACCCTCACTGTCCCAAGCCGGACCAAGTCTTTGGCCTGAAGCCCCACTCGGATGCCACAGCGATCACAATTGTCTTCATCGATGATAGCGTGAGCAGTGGCGGAGGCAGGGGGTGGCCAGCAGGGGCCAAGGCCCTCCCCATGATCACACTTTCCTTTGTATTATGCATGTGAACAGTGAATATTTTTCAATTTTCCTTTAAGCCGGCCCTCCCTACCATCAAATTATAGGCAATCCTGCCTTCGCCACTGAGCGTGAGTGGGCTCCAACTGCAGAAAAATAGTGTCTGGTATGATGTGCCAATCATTCTGAACGCATTACTTGTGAACATGGGAGATGTAATGGAGGTACATGTGTTGCAAAAATTGTTTAATCTTGCATCGTGGACAGTTAATCTAAGCTAGAAATCTCTGTATTTCCTGTGATGCATGCAGATAATGAGCAATGGGTTCTTCAAGAGTCCGGTTCACAGGGTTGTGACCAATGCTGAGAAAGAGCGGCTGTCATTGGTGATGTTCTATGCGATGGACCCAGAGAGGGAGATTGAGCCAGTGCAAGAGCTGGTGGACGAGAAGAATCCGAGGCGGTACAGGAAGATCAAAACCAAAGACTACATAGCAGAGATATTCAAAACATTTGCAAGAGGGACACTAGCCATTGACACAGTGAAGATCTGAATGTGATTCTGAAGTGCAGAAGATCGGTTAGCGGCATGCTGAATTTGCTCTTTGAACTGTGTATGCTTTCACCTTTTGGCTTAAAATGTATTTTGGTTCACCTTCTGACTTTTAAGTATTTTTATCTTGTGCGTTGACTTTCTGATTATTTCCAATGTCAGCATTATGTGTCAAGTTGAGTGATGAAACTCTCACAAATATATTCATATCCACCTTGTGCTTATATACAAGATCTACCAGAGAATGTACAAGGGGAATGGAGGAGAGAACAACGACACGTTAACCGAGGCAGTGTGCGCACGTGCGTGAGCTGGTGGAGCTCCTGAAGACTAGGTGAGACCATCCAGCCGCACCTTCCAGTACGGCTATGTGCAGCCAAAACTTGGGGTTCCCGGACATTGAATCTGAAGTCGAGGAAGACGCTCGTCGGTAGTCCCTTGGTGAAGATATCCACGAACTGCGAGCTCGTGGGAACATGTAGTATGCGAACCTCACCGAGTGGCACATGCTCATGTACGAAGTGAAAATCGATCTCGATGCTTAGTGCGTTGATGTTGCACTGGGTTGCTCGACATGTACATGGCGCTCACATTATTGCAGCAAACCACCGTGGCAAGCGATGGAGGTTCATGTAGCTCACTAAGAAGTTGGTGAAGCCAGACGGACTCGGGGATGGCGTGGGCGACCACCCTGTACTCAGCCTCGCACTGGAACGAGAAACATTGTTCTGGCGCTTTGATGACCAGGTGAGGACGTTGGGGCCAAGAAAAACGCAGAAGCCGGAGGTGGACTTGCGTGTGTCGGGGCAGCCAGCCCAGTCAACATCAGAATAGGCCACGAGCTCGTTGGTGAAGGAGGGATGAATCTGGAGGTCGAGGTGGGTGGTCCCACGAAGATAGCACAAGATCCACTTGACAAGCTGGAAGTGGAGTCGCGGGGAGCATTCATGAAGAGGCAACACTGCCGAAAGACATAGGAGAGGTCAGGGCATGTCAGTGTAAGGTATTGAAGCGTGCCGGCAAGACTACGGTAAAGTGATGGGCCGTGAAGAGCGGCCTAATGTCAATGGAGAGCTTGGCGAGGGTGTCAACCGGAGTGGAGATGGGCTTGCAATTCAGCATGCCTGCACGGTCGAGAACCTCAAGAGCATATTGCTCCTAGGAGAGGAAGAGCCCGTGCGTGGTTGAGGTGACATTGATCCCTAGGAAGTAGTGAAGGGCACCAAGATCAGTCATAGAGAACTCGCGGTGAAGGGCATGGATGTTGGATTTGAGTGTTGCAGAGGAGATAGCGGTGAGGATGATATCGTCAACATATAGCACGAGGTGGGCGAGGTGGTGACTTGGGCAGAGGATGAAAAGCGAGGAATCTGAGCAAGAGGCCATGAAACCGAGTGTGCGTAGATAAGCCGTGAACTGCGAGAACCAGGCCCGCGGCACCCACTTGAGCCCATACAGAGAGCGGTTGAGGCGGCAAATGTGTGACGGCGAGGCAGAGTCGATGAAGCTGACGGTTGGTGACTGTACACCACCTTGGCAAGGTGTGCGTGGAGGAAGGTGTTGACGTCCAATTGATGAATGGGCCAAGACTTGCCGGCGGCGATGCTCAACATAGCACGAATGGTCGCCGCCTTGTCGACGGGGTTGAAGGTCTCCCCGTAGTCAACACTGGCCTGCTGCGTGAAACTGTGGAGCACCCATTGAGCTTTGTACCATGGAAGCGAGCCATTCGGATTTAACTTATTCCGAAAGATCCACTTTCTTGTGACTACATTGGCACCTACAGGACAATACAAAACACCAAGTATTATTCCGCATCAACACGTTAAATTCTTCAAGCATAGCGTTGTACCTATTTGGGTCTTTAAGAGCGAGGTGATAGGAGGAAGGAATAGGGCTCGTGGCAAGGGAAGCGGTACAGAGAGAATGTTTCTTTGGTTGAGCAAAACCAGTTTTGCCTTGCGTCTGCCCACTACCGAAACAGGGCACTACCCCGACGGCCGAATGTATGCCAATGGCCCCCGTCGGCCTACTCCGTGCTATGTCAACAACCGTGACCAGGTCGTCGGCATACCGGTGCCACGAGGCAGCCCGTGGTTGGCCGGCGTGTTTGACGGCGCCGTCTGGTGA